CGAGGGAGAGTACTTTAGAGGTGCAGTAAGCAAGTTTGTGATGGATTTTTTTTAAGAAGTCATGAATTTGTGAGGTGGTAGTGACATGTTCACTCTGCTTTCTATTCACAAGAACTTCTGTATTAAGAAATAACCGGTAGCTTACCCCTTCTCCAACTTTCCCTTATCCTGATCATGGGTGCATGCAGTCAGTCAACTAGTCCATATATTTGCTCTCTGTTTCTTTCTCCATGCCATGGCCTCCAAACATCTGCTGGGGCTGAGGTCACTGTGGGTCCAAGCCAAGAGCTAGTTGGGAACCTGTTTGATGATGTACTTTCAGTTGAAAACCAAAACTTTTCATGGAAATGTTTCTCTTTCAACAAAAGCTTTGCTGGAAAGGTTTTTTTGGTCTGCATTGGATGAGAAAAGGTTGGAGGGAGGCAAGGAAAGTCATCATTTCCCTTTGATATATTTCATTACAAATGAACTTGCCTCAGATGTTCCAAATCCAGCAGCATAAGGACTAAAATGAAGTGGGTCATCATTCCAGGTGGGTGTGCCTCCTGCTAGGCAAACTGAACACTTGTAATGGTTTTGAAAATAAAACTTACTACAAATTTTGTAGGGAGGAAAACAAATGTTGAGGCTTTTGCATTTTTGTCAGTGTTTTGCTTTCGGGCTTTTTTTGTGGCCAGTTCCATCCAAATACGGAAATAGTGTTGCTTGAAGGAAGCACAGGGCATAGATAAATCAACACTGTTATATGCCTCCTGGGCACTAGATAGTCTAAATAAATAACGTTTATGTGGGACGATTCAGCTGGGATATTCATAAGGACAAACCTGAATCTGAGCTCTTTCCAGCTTAGGATCAAATCTGTCTGAGATGCGTAGTTCTGTCTGTATTCCCCTCCTCAGCAGGTTCTTGATGTCTGTGGTAACCTAATATGTGGGTGCTGCCAGCCAGTGGTTCTTCAGTGAGGAAAATACCTGTCCAATCCTCCAGCAACTCTTCCGCTTTTCCATCCTTACGATGACTCAGAAAGTTGCTGGGAAATCTGCTAGGTCTGGTGGCCACTTTGCACAGCTCTTGCCCCACTGCTTAAACCAGATGTGTTTCTATCAGGGGCAACTCAGATGGAAAAATGCCATTCCTGGATCTCAGAATGGAGTAGCCACAAAGAGCCAGCCTTTGAGTGCTTGCAGAAGCCTGCAAATGGTTTCTTAAACTGGGGCAGAACAGGCAGAGAGGGCTTGTAACTTGGAGGACGCCAGAAACAGTCTTTGCCATCATTTGATCTAGGATTGTCTGTTTGAGGAATTGTGGAAGGAAAACAGACTGATTTACAGCCTGTTAAAAGTCAGCATTCATCAGTGCAGTCTGCACAGCCTGAGTTAAGGGGGGAACCATCTGTGATCAAAGAACAAATTTAGCTCTATGCATTAGTCAAAAGGCACGGTCCTTGAGAGGCGATAGACACGCACTGTAAAGCTTTGCTGGAAAGTTACTGGACCCGAGATTAATAGCAGTCCAGTGATCTCGGAGAGGAGGACTGTAGATCTGAGCAATGCTTATACTAGTTGTGCTGGCTGCAAAATGCCGTAATTGAGTTTTACCTCTATATTCTTCCAAATTCAGAAGACAAAGTCAGCATTTTGTGCATGCCCAAAGAGGAGCTAAGGGCTTAAGCAGCGAAGAAATGTCCCTCCGCCAGCTGACGGGAAGTTTCCTTCTGCCGGTTCAGATCCCGTGATTGCTTTGCCATCCAAGAGCTTGTCAGATGGTAGGTGTTGGGCGCGCTTCACAGGCCATGAGGACTTCTGGGGTGGAACCCAGCCACTCTCTGTGCCAGCAGCCAGCTACCAAGAGCACAGTCCCAGAAACAGGATCAAAATGTCTTAATTAAAAAGGGTGGGGGTGTGTGTAATTAAACAGCATGTCACTTTCTCCTGGAGCTGAGCAAATACTACAGAAAGAAGGGAAAATAATGGACAATCTAAACAGCAGATTTAATTCAGTGATGTTTGGGGCCCTTCTTATTGGTATCTGCAGAAGTAACTGATTCTCTGCGTGCTTGGGAGGCTTCTGGGAATGATGATGCCCTATATCACTGCTGTGCAAGCAGCTGTGTGGGAGCAGGTAGGAAGGAGCAGTCACCTGGGAAAGGCCTCTGGAGCGATGATGGTAGAAAGCTGACAACAGTCTGAAACGCTCTGAGAAAACTGTAACCGGGTAATGAGTGCGTTAATAAAAAGGAAATTCAGAGTATATCTAATTACAATTAGATTAGAATGTAAACGAACTCCACTGGTTCAGTGCTTGTTTTTGTTTGCCTTGTTCAGATATCCCCCTTTGGAGCTCAGTAGAGATGCTGTAGCTGGTCGCTTTTAATCTTGAGGAAAGTTACTGGTGGTTAGTAAGAATCAGGACTTCAGTATTGTGTTGAGGACACAAGATAAGGCTTGTGGTAGTGTGTTCCTCCCCCATCAAAGGTGAGAGCTTTGCTCAGTAAGTCTGAGGAATCATTTCTACCTATAAAAAGTTTCCTTGGGGCTTTTCCTTTTGAAAGACACCTGGCCTAATCCAGTGTGGTTAAAATTGTTACTCAAAATAGTGTACTTGTGAGGCTGAGCAAATACTCTGCATTAGGAAACTTACTGAATGATGTTACCCTGTAATACCTGAGGGCTTCCCAGGTATATGTTAGTAACCGGCTGTCACCATCTTCCTCTCTTTCATGTCGACTTTATAGTTGGTGCAGTGTTGTTTTGGCGGGGTTTTGTCTTCAGTAGGTATATGTGGCTGGCCTGTGTTTATATTGAAGGCAGCCAGCTGAAGGCGATGGTCCCTGCCTTCGGAGTGACAGGTGATGAGCTTCAGGGTGGTTTCCCAGCACGGATGCATGGGGCCAGGCCCACGGAAGGCACAGAGCCCTACCAGGCTGCTGGAAGGGTGTGCCCTGCCCAGCCTGGAGCTTCCCTCCCCTTTCGGGGACGCTCCCTGCCTTTCGTATCAACCCTTCCCGAAGACCGGCGGGCCTCACTCACAGCAACGCACAGTGGTCTTAGCTGCATTGGGTGCAAGAGGTGGGTTTTTTCGGATGCCTTCTCCCTTACCCGGGCAGCCGGCC